GGAATCACCTTAAGATGTCATTTAGAATTTCAAATAAACAGAGTTTTTTGAAGAAAGAAAAAAGATCAGTGTTTCATTCTTATCCCATGCAGAACAATAAATCAAATTAAAACCCATAAAAATTCAAAATAAGACATAAAAAATTTGCATTAAAGAGCAATCTGTTGCTCTGGTTATCTCAACCAGATATGACATTTTTTTTATTATGATCGATTTAGCTTAGATATTTTTTTCTGCTCTTTCCACATCAAAATGAATGATTACGAAAAAAAAGTGATTTTTTTTTATTTTACTGGCCCCAAAGTTGGCTAAAGGTCACAAGAAGTATTGAGTATATATGCTCATTTTATAAGCAAAATATTAATCAATGAAGTCTTTATACTTTAAGAATGATACCTCATGGGCCGAAAAACATTGTATCAATGACCGTATCTGGCCTGTGTGCCTTAACTTTGACACATACTCTAATGAATTTAATGGCCGACTTATTTGGTTTTGTAATTCTTGCCAATTTGATCAAAAACCGTCAAAGCAAATAATTTTTTCCTGTCAGATTTTTAGTTTTTATTTGTCCGCATTCCTCCATGCTTTCTCCTCAGACYGTGTGTCCATGTCCGCAGCGTCCCCCTCCGGTCCACCCACACCGGCTGTCGTCCAGTTCAAGCTGGGCCTGTTCAGAGAGATGGTCCGAGTCCCACCAGGCAACCGAAGCTTCCGCCACGCTCGGAGGCTGGCTGCTGAGGTCATCGAGCGTAAGGTAACTCAGAGCGGCCTTCTTCCAACCTGCTGCGTGAAGACAGTTTTACTGCAGATAGTAGAAACCTGAAAGGAGAAATGCACTGATGGTTCAGTTTTATACTTCAGGTGATGTTCATTCAACTTTACATGACYATAATGTATTTGTCACATGGAGAGAGAGGAAATCATCAGGATGACAGAACAGTGTTAATTACAGTGTTTACTATCATTACAATCACATTTTATTTRTAATATTGTGCAGTCCTAATAGAAAGCTATCATAAACGTCAAACAAAAAAAGAAGATGAGATTCTTTTCGTGTTAACTCCTCCAGTGGAGGCCGGACYGCCCTCCAAACACGAGATGCTACAGTTCATCTCCCGTCTTCACAGCTTCGCTGAGCATAAGTTGCGGTCCGCTTTACTTCTGCCAACATTGTTCACTTTGAAATACCTTTTCATGTATTTCTACCACCAGCTGTAAGGAGTCTGGATAAAGTCCAATAAAGAATAAAACATCTACAGGTCCAAATTACATTCTTTCAAGGATGTTGTTGGAAAAGGTTTTTTTCTGTCCTTGTTTTGTAGACATTTGCAATATTTCTTTTTCAACAGGTGTGTTTCCAAGCTAAGCATGCTGTTGTTGAACCGCTATTAAAAAAGGCAAACCTGGATCCTACGCAKTTTGAAAATTATAGGCCAATCTCTAAGATCCCTTTTTTGTCAAAGCTTCTTGGAAAAGTAGTGGCTGAGCAGCTGATTGCTCATTTGGAAAAACATGAGATCTTTGACAAATTTCAATCCGGTTTTTGAAGGTTCCACTCCACGGAAACAGCTTTACTTAAAGCTTCTAAAGATATTTTGATGTCAGCCGACTCTGGAGAATCCACTGTGATGGCTCTCTTAGATCTAACATCTGCCTTTGACACCGTCGAACACAGCACATTGATTAACAGGCTACGAGATGTAGTCGGTCTATCAGGCTTGGCATTGGAGTGGTTTACTTCCTATCTTTCTGGCACAACATTCAGTGTTCATGTGAATCAGATAATGTCAGARTCTAAGAGCCTGCTATGTGGGGTGCCTCAAGGCTCAGTATTGGGACCTATTCTTTTTCTTTTGCATATTTTTCCTCTTGGCCAAATAATAAGTCAGTTTTCACATGTGTCTTATCATTTCTATGCTGCTGACATTCAGTTATATTGCTCATTCAGACCTTCTGAATATTGTAAGTTGTCCTCTTTGATAAACTGTATTGTCAATATCAAACAATGGCTCAGTTAAAACTTCCTGCAGGTTAATTGTGACAAAACTGAAACACTAATTATTGCTTCTGACGATCAAGTAACTGAAATAAAGCAACACCTTGGTGTATTAGTTTCCTCTGTTAAAC